AAATGATTATGATAATAATAATAATAATAGTAGTAGTAGTAGTAATAATCATAGTAATGATACTAATGATACTAAAATATTAATTATGACAGTGAAAAAGTTAATGATGTTAAAGATCAATTCTATATAGACCACTTCCTGGTGGCTTTAGGCGCCTCACAATAAACTAAAGTAAAATAGTAATTGGACAGACCAGACAATAAGTTATAATATGTTTCATGTAAATTATATGGTCGCTTTTAAGCACAAGAGGGATTTCCCGAAAAATGCTGTTTTGAGAAAATCGAAGGTAAAGTTTTTGCCCCTAGCTCAGTTTCTTTAAAAGACAAGGAGAGTTTTCTCAATAACCAAACAAATATACATGCATACACACCAATGAAATCAAACTTTTCCATAAGGTAGAGCAATGCCCACTTTCGATGTAGGTCAAGATTTCTGGAAACCCCCGAAATCTGGGTTAGCTCGATTGTCCTTAAAAGCGACCATAATATTATATACAGGCCCATTCAATTTCTTTGAAATAAAAATACTTTCGTTCATCTGTAATCTGACAAAAGAACACTGTCTATTTTTTTAATACATGAAAAGGCAGTCTTTGTGGCTGCTAATCCTACTACTTCTGATTGTCGCGTGCCGGAGACTTGAGTTCGATTCCGGTGTGGGTGGAAACATTTTTTTGAGTTTCTCTGGGTTTTCACCTGGGATGATGCATCATTCTCAGCCCGTGTTGGCCCTGACAGGCAGGGTAGGAAGCCCGCTCCCTAAAAGATCTGACTTTTGGCGATGGGGTGTTAAAAACACTACAGTTAAAAAATACAAGAGAACAGAGAAAAAGAAAAACAACCCCAAAACAAATACCAAATTTTATTTAATACCCCCCCCCTTAAATAAAAACAAAAACAAAAAGAAAGCCCAAACAAACAGACAAGTCAGACATCATTGGTGGTAGCCACCGTGCACTGCCCTACTACTGGCATTGCTGAGGATGTCACATGCACAGAGATATTTGGCTACTCAAGAATTACAACAAAGTTCTTTCTGCTCAGTGCCTAGTTTTGAGAAATTTGACTTCCAAACATTTTATTTTAAGTTCCACAACATGTCAAGCTTTACCCGAATGCAATTCTTGGTGACGGCTCCGAATAATCTTACGAGCTTAATAGAGAAGATAGAGAGCATTCGATTTCTGACCTTATGGTCTTAGTAAGTAACTCAAATCGGCCAAAATGGTCAGATCGAACTTTGTAATGTTAAGGTAGCGATTTGTTTGTCTTTGTGTTACAATCAGAATACTGTGTATGTATCTAGCTTAACATTATTATTGTTTATATTACTTTTCAATAATATTATAATGCATGTGACTATAAGTAAGCCTGTTTATGAGTGCAAGCATACTGTATGTGTGTGTGTGTGTGTGTGTGTGTGTGTGTGTGTGTGTGTGTGTGCGTGTGTGTATGTGTGTACGTGGTGAAACGCCAAACCAATTTGAGGGGATCTGGACAATAAAGATGTATCTTATCTTATCTTATCTTATCTTTGTGTATTTTCTCTTTGTTTGTCTGTGATTGCAGGAGAAGCAGGAGCCCCTACCGGCTAAAACGAGACGCGCCCCCGCCGAAGATGATGAGCGAGAGGAAGTGGCGGCGGAGAAGTCGAGTCAGCAGGAGGATGGAGAGAAGAAGAAAGAGGTGGAGGAGGAGAAAAAAGAGGAGGAGGAGGAGAAAAAGGAGGAAGAGGAAGAGGAGGTGGAGAAAGAAGACTCTTGCCGTCGGATGATTAAGCTGGATGCGCCCGTCTGTGCAGCAGAGGAGGAGAAGGATGAGGTTGGTGTTGCGTCAAAGATGGTACATAACAAGATAGTTCACTCCTCTCTTTGAGCCAATTAAAAAAGTGTCCTCAAAATTTGGTGGCGCCCTCTTTGAAAATGCGCAAATTTCGCGAAATCTGGGTTAGCTCGATTGTGTGGAAAAACAATAAAAATGAAACCAACAAACAATGCTATTCCTATTCTTCTGCAGAAACGATAGAGAGCTTCAAAACAAAGACTGCAGTGCCATCTGAACCAATGCGCTGACTTCCGCGGACACTTTTTTGGCTGAGTGAACTATATTGTTATGTACAATCTTTGGTTGCGTCTAGCTCTCCCTCTCTTGACTTTTTTTTGGTTTTGTTTCACTCAACTCTGATTTGTTGACAGGGGAAAGATGATGATAGAGAGGAGGGGTTCAGAAACCTCTCTTTACCCTTTTTCCACCCCTTCCTTCCATCCCTACCACAATACCGTTTACTGGAGCAAAGAACAAATGTCGTAAATCTCCACCTTTTTAAAAAACTTTTAATACAGCATTGAGCCAAAGGGCAATCGCTTAAAGGCTGATGGATGAGAATTCAACGACTATAACTTATTTTTGAAAAAAACCTCCTCCATCGCACTAAATGCAGAAAAACAACCAAAAAAAAAGAAATTCTCCCTTTTATTACTTGGTCAAGGACAGAAACTGACTTTGAACTGCTTGTACACAGTCATTAATTTGATTTGCTCCTTCTTTCCTATCAAACGTCCATCATCCCTATCCTCCAGTTGTTGTTGTTTTTTTTTTGGGGGGG